AACAGATGAGTTGTCCCTATTCTTCTGTTTTACTATATCACTAAAAAGTGGACCAGGTTGACGCTTGAGATTTTGCAGGTTCACGTTCTTCGTACGAATTCAGCAGGGATTTTTGTACAGTGTATTCGAGATTAGTTAAAAGTAGGTTTTTCTAGCAGACAACTGATAACAATATGGGACCTCGGTTGGCCGGGTGGGTCAGAGTGTCGTGCTACTGATCAGCCGGCCGGCCGGGCCGCGAGTTCGAATTTCGCCTTCGGAAATCTCATTTTCGAAGCCATGGATGTTGTGACGTCGTGTGTTTGTCCAAAAATTAGATATACGTACATATACAAGATTGGATCTGGCTAATGGGACGCAATGACCAAGTGCCAAAAAAGAACTGTTACTTATGACCACTATAAGTAAGAACACTACGACGTAAATCAGTAATTGAGGCAAATTTTACCACTCAAGATACTGCATCGCATGCACTAAACATAGCACTACGTCAGACATAGCCACAATGAAATTTCCGATCTTTTTCCCTAATAAAGAGGAACTACCATCGACCCGCTAATCGGTGCGATGTATATATACAGGGTGGCGCAGAGGAAACGCATGTTTTCTGAGTGAATAGTATTTCGCAAGGAGAAGTGGGTTGACCTTCCCTTACCGCCAGCAGAGAACACAGGCAATGCAGTTTTAGCCATGGCAGCGTGGACAACTGACCATCGTGTGTATGCCGTCGAGCAATTTTTGAACGTGATTTTCCGTTTCGGCGATGTTCCTTGGTCTCCACGCTTCCCAGATTTGTCTGCATATGACTTCTTTTTGTGGGGTTACGCGGGATGTCTTTTAAGTTTTGCACATAGAAACATAGTAGGCCGCGCGGTATGAACTTGAATTCAAAGTTTCACAACAATACGTGCAGTGTTCTCACTACAGTGAATTGTCTGTTTTCGGCAACGAAGCGCCACATCAGTCGATAATTTCCCGTTGGTATGGAGAATTCAAAGGTGGACGGGTGAGTCTTAGCGACGATTCCAGGGTGGGTGCACCAAAAACCGCAGTCACCCAGGAAAACGTCGATGCTGTGCACAAACTCATCATTGAAGATAGACATGTGACATATCGCGAGATTGAGGCGTCCTTGAAGATCTCAAAGACCTCAATATTCCAAAAAAAATTACATGAAGAATTAGGAGTAAGAAAATTAGTTTCTCGTTGGATACCCCACCTGTTGACTGAAGAGCAGAAATCAGCCAGGGTTAATTGGTGTCAAAAAACGCTTGACCGTTTCAATTCCGGAATTTAAAATTGTGTACAGCATTGTTAGTGGTGAAAACTAAAAACAGAAGAAGCAGTTGACGCATTCAAAAATGCCATTTTGGATCTGCCAGCAAACGAGTGGAATAAGTGCTTCGAAAATTAGTTCGATCGCATGCAGATGTACGATATTGATCTTCGTGGAGAATACTTCGAAAAACAATAGTCATTTAAAACTACCTACCGTGTTGTTTTATTTCCATATGCAAAACTTAAAAGACATCCCTCGTACCTTAAGGCTAAAGTATACCCTCACAAACCCTCCCTGAAAATTGCTATTCGTCAATAACTCGCAAGAATGCCACAAGAAATGATCGTGCGTGTAATGCACAACTTTCAAGAGCGGTTGCAAATGTGCGAGCGCGAAGAAGGACGACACTTGAATGACATAATTTACCATAATGAATTTAAAAGTGCACTATTATTACTTTATTTAGATGTAGTTAAAATAAAATTGTCTTAAACATCGAAAATGTTATGCTTACGTGAAAATCATGCATTTCCTCTGCGCCACCCTGTATATACGAGTATATATATAATAAACGGACCATTCAACTTAAGTTGTCTCCCTCATGTATTTTGCTTTACACAAATCATTTTGCAAAGACGACAATTTCGAAATAAAAACACATTAAAAGTAGACGCGTTGGTTTTGTTATCCTTCCATAAACATTTAAAGATACCAAAAATATATTTGGGAAAATCAGGATCTCCTTCCAGGAAACAGTGCCGATTAAATAAGTTTCGTTGTATGAAATGCAATGAGGTTCAAACACAAAGCAATACTTGATGATCGTGTGATTAGGAAGCATGTCGGATCTATTGCATCAGTTTCATTGATGATGAATATATATTACGTGCCAATTAACAAAACATTTGTTTTTACACTTGTCATAAAAATTACTGATGACGTATACAATACATATAAAAGTATAATTGGTAAAAATAAAATATAATATAAAGGTGTAGTAGGCCAGATCACACACATAGGGGGGTCGCGATAAACTCATTCAAGGAATAAAAAGGATGTTTAACTAATTCTTGCCAAAGTGTATTTTTAAAATGTTTTAAAGTAAGATTCTTAGTAGTGTTTTTTAGCTTATTATATACCCTAACATCAAGTGAGTTTTTATCTGAGATCTTTAGCCTGTGAGCGCTAGGTTGAAGTAGATTGGAATGCCTGGTGTTATATCCATGAACATCCGAGTGCATTGAGAATTTATGCTTGTTCTTATGAATCTCAACAAGGCTCTGATAGATGTACATTGAACAAATTGTAACCATATTCAAGTTTATAAAGATTGGCCTACAGTGGTCACGATAACCAGCTCCCGCAAGAATTCTAATTGCTTTTTTTTGTAATATAAAGACTCTATTTATATGGGTAGAATTTCCCCAGATTAATAAGCCATATTGAATGTGAGAGACGATGAGGGAGTAATAAACACTAACAAGGCATTCATTACTAAGGCAAGTTTTTAGTCTGCGTAGTAAGAATATGTTTGTGGCTAATTTGCTACATAGGGTTTCAATGTGCTTTGTCCATTTTAGTGAGCTATCAATTGTTATGCCAAGCAATTTTACACATTTGTTTTCTGCAAGAGAAGAGTTACTAGTTACTACTAGCCTGTTAGTTTTGTCTGAGTTTAGGCATAAGCTATTCTGTTTAAACCAGTTGTTTGCCTTTTCTTCAAGCTGTTTAGATAAGCTTTGTAATATATGAAGGTTTTTGTGACTCTTTATAAGGGTGGTGTCATCTGCGTACAATACACAAATATCTGGTAATTAGTAGTAATAAAGATCATTAATGTAAAGGGAAAAAAGTATTGGTCCAAGTATGGATCCCTGAGGGATACCATAATTTACACCTTTAATTTCTGAATGTTTATTATTACTACTAACGAGCTGAGATCTTCCAGTCAGATATGATCTAAAAAAGCACAGAGACACCCCACGAAAACCATAATAATGCTCCATTTTACACAGCAGTTTCTCATGATCCACACAGTCAAAGGCCTTGCTAAGGTGACAAAGGGTAATTTGTACACTTCTTCCCCCTTCAAGGCCCTGGACTATGTGGTCAATAAGTTCCGCTAGTGCATTTATGGTTGACAGACCTGGCTGAAAACCAAATTGTTTTGGATTAATGATGTTATTTATTTTTAAAAATTTTAAAAGGCGGTGCTTTAAAATTATTTCTAAAATTTTGCCAAAGATAGGAATTATGGAAATGGGTCTAAAATTGTTTACATCAGATAGGTCACCTTTTTTAAAAACTGGTACTACCTTACTAATCTTAAAAACATCAGGGAATATTCCCTGAGAAAGACAGGAGTTATATAGATGAGCAAGTGGTGTAGCAAGAGTATTTGCACAGTGTTTTATTACTTTGCTGTTTAGGTCATAAATATCAAGAGATTGCTTATTTTTTAATTCACCAATAGCATTCAAAACATCTAGATATGTAACAGGCTCCAGAAAAAAGGTTTTATTACACTTATTAAAATTTATGGTATTTAGCTCGTTAATATTAAGATTAGGTAGGCTTTTTATTATATTTTTGGCTGCGGATACAAAAAAGTCGTTAAACATGTCTGATGTGATATCAGTTAATGTCATTGGTTTGGATTTATTTCTTTCAAAATTTACTAGCCTCCAACAGTCCCTACTTTTATTTTCCGATGAATGAATAAAATTATTATATGCACTATATTTAGCATTTAAAATACATGAATGCACATTCTATCATCATGAAACCATTCGTAATATAAGCGGGCATATGTCAACACATGCTTCTTTTTCTGACCTGCACATATGCAAATCATGTAATAGGTCATATAAGAAACCATTTTCAAATCCCAATAGCCGAACTTGAGCGGACAGTGTCTACCAGTATATATGATTGTATGCATCGTTAATTTAAAATAACCAATAAGACTACAATTATATAACACATGGCGAAACATAATACTCGACAAGCATTTGAGTGTATTCATTGTAATGCGTACTGCTTCTGTGTTCTCTTAAGATACCCGAGTTTTTACACTGTGAATATAAAACGACAATCATGAAAACTTTAGCTGTACGAGTACGAGTCTTTGGTTCGATCAATTGTATCAGTCTTTTAATAGTGCGTATACGTTCATTTGTCTGATTATTTTGTGCGAAAAATGGCCCATGCTGAAGAACACAATGAACTAGTGGACATAATACTGACAGACGGAGAGTGCCAAAAATGCAGCCGCAGCATGCAGGTTGTATGCGGAAAGGTTTCCTTTAAGAAATCATCCAGCCCCACGGATGTTTGTAAATTTAGTTATTAGGCTTCGTGACACAGGATAATATGCCACAATTATTAGATGTTCCTCTAAATGTGAGACAGAAGGTGTGGTTCCTACATGATGGTACTCCACCATATTTTAGACGAGAAGCTCATGAACATCCTAATAATGAGTTTCCGAATAGATGGATAGGGCGCAATGGATTCATTTCTTGGCCTGCTCGCTCCATGGATTTAACGCCTAGCGATTTTTTTCTGTGGGGCTATTTGAAAGAGTTGGTGTATCACGATGGAGCAGTAAAGATTCTGGAAGAGCTTCAACAGCGCACTGAAAATGCTTGTGATTTAATTCGTGGACACCAGGATTTTATTTTCGGAGCTTGTATGTTAAAGAGTCGTGGATTCGCCGAGCGAGATTGTGCGTAAATCGAACAAATTGGGACAATTTGGAATAGTGTTTGTAAGAACGGTATCCGTTTAACTTGCTAATGATTCTCTTAAATAAATTTCAATAATGATTGTTTAAATGAATATTATTTTTTGAAATAACGTTCAATGCAAACTTCAGAATCTGTCGCGGTATACGCAACTGAATCGATTCTCTTTATCAATTAAAAAACGTAAAGTATAATGAAACTTTTTTTCAGACTACCAATAAAGAAAACGCGGGAAAAGGAACAACGAAATCCAGCGATGGAAGAAGGAAAAAAGTCGTTCAGCTGCTATATTTGTAACTATACGAGCCATTGTAAAAAGGGTTTGATCGGTCATATCAAAAGAAACAATTGCTATTTAGGATCTAGTTTGGGAAAATCAGGTTCTCATTTGGTTAAAAAGCATGTAGGATCTATTGCGTTAGTTTCATCTAAAATACATGAATGCACATTGTGTTATTTTAAAACCGCTTATAAAGGTGATTTAACCAGGCATATGCTGAAGCATACTACTAAACTACGCATATGCAAACATTGTAATACATCATTTAAAACAGAACGATCGCTTTTTGGCCATATTTTAAAGATACATCCCAACTTTAGCGGGACAATTTCTAGTAAGATATATGAATGTATGCATTGTGCACATAAACAAATAGCTAGGAGTAGTTTTATAAAGCACCTGGCAAAACATGATATCCAAACCACATTCAAGTGTAGAAACTGTGATGCTTCATTTAATACTAAACGACGCTTAGAAAGCCATACTTTACATAAACATCCTAAAATACGTGAATGTGCACAATGTGAATATAAAACTGCAATTAAATACTGCTTAGCTAGGCATATGATCAAACATACTGGAGCTAAGCTCAAGTGTACAAAGTGTGAAAAGTCATTTACAACCATACGAACATTAGACGATCACATTTTGCGGAAACATCCTGAGTTTACTACTTCTGTATCTACTAAGATACATAAATGTACATATTGTGAATATAAAACTACATATAAGGGGAATTTAGTTAGCCATATGATGAAACATACTGGAGCTAAGCTCAAGTGTACAAAGTGTGATGCGTCATTTACAACCATACGATTATTAGACAACCACATTTTGCAAAAACATCCTGAGTTTACTACTTCTGTATCTAGTAAGATACATAAATGTACACATTGTGAATATAAAACTACATGTAAGGGGAATTTAGTTAGCCATTTGCTGAAACATACTGGAGCTAAGCTCAAGTGTACAAAGTGTGATGCGTCATTTACGACCATACTATCATTAGACAACCACATTTTGCGGAAACATCCTGAGTTTACTACTTCTGTATCTCGTAAGATACATAAATGTACACATTGTGAATATAAAACTACATATAAGGGGAATTTAGTTAGCCATTTGATGAAACATACTGGAGCTAAGCTCAAGTGTACCAAGTGTGATGAGTCATTTACAACCATACGAACATTAGACGAACACATTTTGCGGACACATCCTGAGTTTACTACTTCTGTATCTCGTAAGATACATAAATGTACACATTGTGAATATAAATGTCTGCAAAAGCAGCATCTCATCAGACATATGATGAAACATACTGGAGATAAGCTCAAGTGTACAAAGTGTGATGCGTCATTTACAACTAGACTATCATTAGACGATCACAATTTGCGAAAACATCCTGAGTTTACTACTTCTATATCTCGTAAGATACATAAATGTACACATTGTGAATATAAATGTCTGCAAAAGCGGCATATCATCAAACATATGATGAAACATATTGGAGCTAAGCTCAAGTGTACAAAGTGTGAGGCGTCATTTATAAGCAAACGATCTTTAGACAACCACATTTTACGGAAACATCCTGAGTTTTCTACTTTTGTATCTCATAAGATACACAAATGTACACATTGTGAATATAAATGTCTGGAAAAGAAGCAACTCATCAGACATATGATGAAACATTGACATCCATACAATCATTAGACGATCACATCTTGCGGAAACATCCAGAGTTTACTACTTCTGTATCTAGTAAGATACATAAATACATTGTGACTATAAAACTATATATAAGGGGAATTTAGCTTACCATATGATGGAACGTACTGGAGCTAAGTTCACGTGAACATTTGCAAGAAAATAATAAGGTACACCGGGGCAAGTGTGACCCAAAATTTTAATAGTTCAACTTTTTCGCGTTGTATTTCCTATTTTTAATTATGATATTCACTGAAATTTTGAGAGTATAGTCTTAAGTATATGTAGAAACGAAATCTACAAACACAAAACAAAATCAGTATAGATTTTTTTCTAGAAATTATTTTTTTCATGTTAGAATAATGGTTTACACTTCCCCAGCAAATTGGGGCAAGTGTAAATACGCTGTCTGAATTAGGGATCGACCGATACCGATATATGATATCGGCATATCGGCGATATCGGCCTTTTTGACCGATATGCGTATCGGCCGATATGGCCGCCCATATGCCGATATAGGTTGGCCGATATAAAATAAGTTAACATTGTTGAATGAAACAGACAAAAGCTAGAAAAACATTCACTTTATTTAAATGAATTAAAGTAACATTTGTCTCTAAACATATATCTATAAAAAACGAAACGTAACAGCCATATTCAGTCTTAATTTTTTTGAAAATTTAAGGAAAATGAGTAAATAAAAATTAAACATGAAAAAAACTCTGGTATTTTATTCGTGCATCAGACAATCCTTTTTTCATATTTGCAGCGTTATCAGCAAGAATTATATGAATTTGGTCTTTGTCTAGCTTCCATTGCTCTAGTAAAAGTTTAACCATCTCGGATATATTGTCAGCTGTATGACTGCCTGGGAAACTCCTACATGCCAGAACGAATGATTCTCTATGGGTAGATACGTATTTATTCCAAAAATGAGCAGTAAAAGAAATAAAGGAGAAGTTGTTGTATTGGCAGGTCCATATATCTGATGTTAGTGACATTTTTCCAATCATTTGATCTATTTTCTTCTGCACTCTTTGCATCGTTGAAATATATCAGGAATAACAGTTTCACGAAAATACTTATCTGATGGTATTTCATAAGAAGGGAATGATTTTTTCAGTAAACGAGTGAAACCAATATCAGTAGTAAGGGAAAATGGTTGGTTGTCCACTGCTATCATCTCGCCAATCAGGTAATGGATTTCCTTTGACTTTGCTGAATTCAAGTCCCATTTATGAAGTCTCTCCAAAGCTGCTGAAATTTTTGGTTTGGCCTATCGCTGTGATGCTTCGATGTAAATGGTTCAGAGTTTCTTCTTTCCTGCATCTTCGAACTTTCCAGATCCACAAGTCCACCTATAAAATTTGATCTTTGTTATAATTGGATAATTATTTTGGATATAAAATTTAGAAACAACACCTAACTATGAAAAACATTACTCTTGAATAGACATACACATAAGTTTTGAACGAAAACATTCTTACCTGGTCTGCATTTTTGAATACTCGTCTTTGTGATGTTTAGATAAATGATACTTCATATTTGAAGTGTTGGCTGTTTTCCCTCTGCCGCCCAAGGAAACCTGTTTTTTACATATCACGCATATAACACTATCAGATTCGTTAGTCCTCCGATCGGAAACTCTATCAAAATATTTCCAAAGAACGCTACTTTTCCTCATGTTTGACATTTTTTGTAGAGAGCTAAACCTGAAGCAACCAACGCCGTTCAAGCAAATATTATGACTTGCATAGACGTGCTTGTCGCCTACGTGCTTCGCCCAAGGTTACCGAACCGAAACACACCCGATGGTGCGCGGAAACAGACGAACGGCCGATAGGCCGATATATCGGCCTGCGACATATCGGTATCGGCCGATATATCGGTATCGGTGAAAATCCTATATCGGTCGATCCCTAGTCTGAATTACTACAAAAGTGTTGAGACTTGATTGGGGCTAGTGTAAATAAAAGAAGAGACTAAATATAATCAGATTTTTTTACTAGGAAAAATCACTTAGGATATATTTTGCTCAAATGTGATGTTGAAATGGAAGTGTCCTCTTCTGTGAATATCTGGGGCAGGCAAACAGTGTTGTATTTCATCTCTTCTTATAACTGAGACATCTGGAGTATCTGGCCAATGAAATTGTGATGAAGATCCCGAGCGTCTTGCAAATTTTGCTTCTAAACATGGCTCTACTTCTGTTACTTGCCCTACATAAAATTTAAATGATTTTTTAGTAGCAAATTTTACTAGAATCCAGTCCCCTATTTTCAGTTCTTGAGGATCTTTCTCCAGGTATTTCACGAATTCTTCTTCTTCACGCAAATCATTTACTTCATCGTCTAAGTCAAAATCATCATCTGAAGTATTGACTTCCATTTCTTCAAAACTATCTTCATCTGTGTCTTCTTCGTATACTTGCTTTCTTTTCAATTTTTTACCATCTTTCTTAGTTGTCGACTTCTTTGGTTTTTTAATTTTGTTTGCTTTCTCGTTCAATTTAGCAACTGCTTCCAAGGATGTAATAACTTCGGCACCTATACATACTCTCTTTCTGATCGATTTCGCTGGTTTTGGCATCTGTTTTAGCTGTTCTAAGAGAATGCTCTCAAAACTTTTTGTGTTGTTAACTGGCGGATTCTGGTGTTCTGAACTGGTCGATGGCAGTTCCGGATTTATTGAATTTACTGACGATGTCTGCGGAGTTATTGGTGGTACTGTTGAAGTGGATGGCAAATTAAAACGCTCTTCTAATGTTGATCGTAAATTTGGTTGCGCTACTTGTACTTCTTCCGGATTATTATTTTTGCAGTTTGAATCACACCACCTTTTATATGCTTCTGGATCGTAATGTTCAAGGGGAATGACCTCATTATTAAAAGGATATATCCCCCCTTTCTCAAATCCTTTGATAAGTAACGAAGGGTTTACTTGTGACCAGATTTTTGATAAAATGGTACAAAACATAGGTTTTGGTAGTTTCGTACCATAGTTTTGTCTCTGCCATTTTATGAGCTCTGCATCCCATGCCATTTTTAATGACTTAAAAACACATAAATCCATAGGTTGTAGCAGATGGCTGGAATGAGGCGGAAGTTTCACTATAATCACATCATTAGCTATTGCCTTTTCTATCAAAGAAATACTAATGTGAGACGTGTGACCATCATAAATTAATACAGTAGGTCTGTCTTTGCCAATATTTGGTAAAAAAATGTTTTCAAAATATTTTTGAAAGTTTTCCGTTTTCATCCACCCATTTTTAGTGGCTGAATAAGTCATTCCCGGGTATTCCTCAGTTGGAATCCAACTATTCCATATGTGTTTACCCTTGAACACTACGAGTGGAGGAAGTTTTTCACCTGCAGCGTTTCCCCCAAGGAGAACTGTTATATTCTCTCGTGCTGGGCCACTTGTTGTCCTATGGGCTGCTCTACCCTTCTCTCCAACAACTTTTATCCGGGATGGATCCAGGCAGAAACCGGTTTCATCAATATTATAAATTTGCGATGCTGGGATATTTTCAATATGCTGTTTGAGGGTATTGAAGTAATCATACATAACAAATGGATCCATAGACCTCTTTCGAGCCACTTCCACAGATTGCGGTTTTTTTCTGGCTTAAATGAAATGGTTTCGTGAATCTGACGAAATAATCATTGCCAGGAACTCCATTCTTGAAAGGGGTTACTATATTATTATCTTTCACATACCGCCCAATTAGTTGAAGAACTTCTCTCTTTGATAATCCCATACCCCATTTTTCGAGTATTTTAATACTGTAGGAAAATTTTTGTTCTACATCATAAGGCAGAGCTGGTGCCCTACCCCCCGTATTACTTTTTATACCCCGTTTACCCTTTACATGAGTAAATAAAGTAGCTTTGGGTATTTTGTACAATAATGCAGCTCTATATAATGTTAGAGTACCTCTTTGCACAGCTTGTACTGCCTCTTTCAAATCGTTTTTGCTATAGGCTGGAGGAGCTTTCTTACGTATGTAATTCCGGATCATGTTCTGAAAACAACGGGAAAGTGTAAACGTAATAGAATTATTGGGGCAAGTGTAACCTACCATATTTCATACTTGCCCCAAGGGAGTTTTTTTTGGGGGCAAGTGTAAACCACAACATTTAAAAAAAAATTCTTTAAAATTCAGAAAAGATAAGTTTATTTACCTTTAATGGAGTGCTTACCAGAAATTACGATGAAAAGTCGTCAAAGTTTTAATACAAAGAGATTTTTATAAGAGACTACAGAACTGCGTCGTCAACTGTAAATGCAAACACACTAAGTAACGAAATGTGATGAAGCGTTCGTTTTGCTAGCGCGCAAGACATCTATTGCGATGCTTAGCCGGTATCATAATAAACCTACTTGGCCATAGATGGCGCCATTATGATAGAATTTAAGACCACAAATTGGCATAGGTTACACTGTATTTACACTTACCCCGGTGTACCTTACTTAGACAACCACACTTTAAAGAAACAGCCTGAGCTTACCGCTTCTGGTAGCAAATTGAATAAATTTCTGGATCGTACAAATTTCAATACGTCGAGTCATGATAACTACGAATGCTGTAATGTGACATTTCATTGTAAATCGACATTTCTTGATCACGTAATAAAAGATCATGGAGATATTATTCGATTAACTATAAAAAAATTGTCGCGTAAAATACTGATAATGGTTGTATTCATCAGAATATATTCATACAGGGTATCCTGAAAGAGCAGCGAAATTGAAGAAGAATACTAGCTATTCATATCTTCAAGTACTGCCTCGTCACATTTTGTTTGTAAGCACTGCTTCACGTTGTTGCTGTTCGATTCAAAAACACGAGTTTGCTTAGTTATTCCTAAATTTGCAACATTTGGTGCTGTCTAGGTCTTCGACTGTGTCCAACCAGACGACTTTTGCACTATAAAAATAGATATATGCAGCTCTGATGAAAAAAAACATCGAGGACGACGGCAACGTTCTAAGTGCACTCGCGGAGTATAAAGACAATGTTTAAGATGCTCATATCAAGTCTATAACATCGTTATTGCTGTAGGAAAGAATAGGAATATTTCACTGACAGCAAACTGAAAAAAATCTCATGAAGATGACATTTGATAAGTGTTACGACTTTTTTTTGTTGTAATAGTTGCATAGATTTTACGAATTAGAAGGTTCTCTACTACTTACTCGTTTACTAGTTCATAAGATACGATATAGATAGATAAGAATATATGTATCTCCTACCCTTGCTAAAATTTATTGAATATAGGGGTATATACATTATTCATAGCATTTTGTATTTCTGGTTTCACCTGTTGATCCGCTCCCTTCTGGTGGACCTGCCCTAGTGAACCTGAAATAAAACTACACGTACACACTGCTTAGGTATGCATATGATGAAACATACTGGAGCTAAGTGCAAGTGTACAAAGTGTGATGCGTCATTTATAACCCCAAAATCATTAAACAACCACTTTTTGCAGAAACATCCTGAGCTTGCTACTTCTATATCACGTAAGATACACGAATGCACACATTGTGAATATAAAACTACATATAAGAAGAATTTAGCTGGTCATATGATGAAACATACTGGAGCTAAGCTCAAGTGTACAAAGTGTGATAAGTCATTTACATACACACAATCATTAGACGATCACATTCTGCAAAAACATCCTGGGCTTACTGCTTCTGTATCTCGTAAGATACATAAATGTACACATTGTGAATATAAAACTACGTATAAGGCGAGTTTAGTTAGCCATATGATGAAACATACTGGAGCTAAGCTCAAGTGTACAAAGTGATGCGACATTTAAATCCACACAATCATTAGACGATCACATTTTGCGGACACATCCTGAGTTTGCTACTTCTGTATCATCTCGTAAGATACATAAATCTACACATTGTGAATATAAAACACCACGAAAATATAAACTGACTAAACATACGAGGAACACACAAAGTCATGGTTAGTGCTTTTTTGTTTCCTTTGTGGTTAATGCGTGCCTTTGCAGGCAAATTAAAGTTTCAATTTTAACCCTTGTAGTTTAAGAGATGTCATAATGACAATTCAAAGGAAATAGTTATACTAATACCCAAATTTACCGCCCTTTTCAAATCCAGCACAGCAGAGGTGATCCAAATCTCAAATTAAGGTTTTGTTACTACACTGATTTGTTGAAACCTTAACTAGCGGATGCGATCTGGCTACTTTGCTACACAACCATTTTTCTGGCTTTCACATTTTCTCAAATATACTCTGCATTCTGTCACCATCAAAGCATGCTGGCGAAGTTGCAGCATGGTCGTTGAGTCATACCTTTATAGGTACCGCTATGAGTGTCACTCACAGCACCATGTCAAGTCCACTTGTAGTATGCACTTTCATCTTTACAAGAGTCTGACATTTTGGAAAGAAACAAATCGTATACTCCCGATTTCACTAGAGTAAAGAACGACTCCAAATCATGCTTAGGCAATATTTTCACAACACGGATGTGAACTTTCAGTCTAAAATCATTGATACACTTTTCTCTGACCACAAAGGGCAATATACCCTCTTTTCACTCAATATCAATGAATCCAAAATGATTCAGAGTTTTTTCTGACTCGCATATAACTAATTTTCTACAAGATCTAAAGTCAGCAACGATATTTATAATAGTGTCAATGTAAACAAAAAGTGGGATGTACTTTCTCAGATAATATAAAGCAGATTCAATTACCATTTTCCCCTGATGATAAAAAAGCGAGCTGCGAAACGCAAGAAATTTCCTTGGATTGCCCAGAATTGGATCGACTCAGGAACAGGATGAGTGCTCTTGCAATGATTTCCCAAAACGACATAAAATATAAAGATGTTTTCAAAAGTTATAGTCAGACATATGAGAAACACACCCTAAAAATCATTAGATCAGTTTGTCTTGCCAGTACATAATGATGTAAATACTTAGCCAACCATTTCAGTGAAAGCTTTATTGGAGCCGCTCCAAAACTTCTCTCAAACAACCAACTTTGAGTTATGAATGCGACTTAGATCTAAAAAATAAATCAATATTTTTAACTCCAATGGATCATGATAAATTGCTCAGAATTGTATGCACACTGAAAAACACAAAAAGTTGCTATGGGAAAACGTGTAACATCGACTCCTCCTCGGCCAAATAGTACTGGTGTTCCTCAATATATATATATATATATATCCACCACCACGAAAAACACGCAAAATTTCATCTATGCAGATGATACAACCATTTTGATACCATATAAAGGAGCATCTGATATCCGAATCTTGATAGAGACACAAATAAACCATATTCAAAACTGGCTGGAGGTGAATAAGTTAGTATTCAACATATAAATTCATGAACCTCTATGTGTCAAAAGCGATATAAACCTTCTGGGTGTCACATACGATAGCTGTCTTAAGTTTGATAAGCACATTGAAAATATGGCTTCACAACTCAATTAAGCATGCTATGCATTACGAGTGCTTACTTGTCAACTGCCCTTGCAAGCCGTGCAGACTGCCTACTTGCCTATTCTATTATGTCTTATCAAATAACACTTTTGGGTAATAGTTCCGCGGCCACCAGAATTTTTATCATACAGAAGAGGATAATAAGAACCATCTTCAAAATGAAACTTAGAGAGTCATGTAGAAGTCTATTTGAAGTCAACAGCTTATCAACATTGCGGGGAATTTATATCTATAATACTCTACTTTTTATCTAAAACCATAAAGAAATGTTTGAGAAAAGCGTCTTCAACTACAGTTACATTACTCGCAAAAGTAAGAAATTCATCTACCCATCACATAAGCCAAATTATACCGGAAAATGTCCATATTGCTTAGCACTGAAGCTTTACAATGCTTTACCTCAACATCTTCAATCCATTTCAGCGCTCCCTATATTAAAAAAACATTGATATATATATATATGCAAAATGGAACCATATAGTATTGAAGAGTTCTATACTCTAGTGAACCCGTGTTACCAATATCCTTGTGTTATGTTGTCTAGGTCTATGTTATTTACATTGTACCACAATGAGGTGTTATCTTTGTTGTAAAGTTTGGCCTGGTTCTTCAATCGCAAATTAACTTGCGAGTTGGGTAACGTGTAAAATTGCGGTTTAACTACATCTATCAATTTCACCGATATCTGGCACCTGTAGTTAAAGTTACCTACTGTTTAGGGCAAACCTTAAAAACGCTTATTGAAGTTCAACTTCGGGTTAGCAGTAAATCTGTGGTTAACCTGGGTTTGCGAAACTGGTCCTTACAGGATTGATTTATTTGTTAGATGAATTAGAATAAACTCCTTATTTAATATTTATGTTTGTTTTACCATCCGTGTTAGTTTATTAAGTTATACAAGGTCTGTCGCAAAGTAAACAGGAATTTTGAAAGATATCCGATATAAGTAGCGCCATCTATTATCGGAGACTAGCGCTGGATAGGTCCCTACATGTTTCATTTTTGCCCTATGAAACTTTCATGACAATCGAACCACTTCATGCGGAGTTATCGCGCTCAACGTGACGGT